TCAGTAACATCATAGAATGTGACATTCGGCACTTTGGAAAAAGATAACCCAACTGAACCTTTCTAGGGATATACTTTTCTGCCTCAACCCTGGATTAAGGGGCTAGTATGTTTCTAGGATGTGTTTCGTCTTTTGATGAAACATTTTGACGTGACTACTTAAGAGGTTTTAGTCTTGACTAATAAGGAAGGTGAGTTCTTGTGAGCCTAGAAAATGTAATAATAACCTTTTGTCGCTGTTTTAACAGTCTCTGTCCAGGCTCTGTAAAGTTCAGAGAGGAATGTCATTCGGGGTTTCATTTTGGGTTTTGGTGTTGTTTTTGTTTTATTGGTTGGTTTTGTTTGGTTTTGGGGTTGGTGTGTTGGGTTTTTTGTCTATGTCTTATCCTAGATTCTGTCTTAAGTTTAACTTAACTGTGGTTTATTGGAAGACATGAGTCAGAAAAGATCTATTTCCTTCCTTGGGGAAAAAAAAATCAAATACCTTGATTTAGGGTGGGGGTTTTTCCCCCAACAGAAAAACCTATAATTTACCGGTCTCTAAAAGTTCATGAAGGATACATTTTTGAACCACATGAACTCAGCCTTGGAATATAAAACTAAGAGTTCTGATGTCTCTGTCCTAACTGGTAGTTGTCTGCGTGTTCTCATAATTTTGAAAATTGTCATTCCTCCAGAATGCTTAGAAAATTATAAGATGTTATGCATCAGATCTTTCAATTCCAAAAATACTAAGATACTGGAAAATAACAGCTGTAATGGGTACAACTAGGTCAGTAGACTTGTGTGAATTGTCCTGCTTGCATGCATTTATATATTGACGGTCAGAGAGAAATACCAGAAAATTTATCCTGTCAGACTTAGTGTTAAAAGTGTTAAAAATTTTCACTAGAGGGGCAGAAGCAACTGTGACATTTTTGTGCAGTGGTGTCTACCCATTTTTCTTTTTTTGTCCTCCCCTCTTAGAGCGAGTAGTTTCACCATTCTGTGCTTGCCTCTGTTAGTTACTGACCTTCTCCAACTTTCAGTCTGTGCCAGCATCCAATATTTTCTTTCCTTTGTTCTTTGGGAAACTATTTCATAGTAACCTGATGCACGAAGAGGCCTTGGTTCTGTTGTAACTGAAAGCTGCTATGCATATATTAGACTCATTTAAAATAAATATTTTCTGGTAATTTCTCATTCTCAAAATAGTGTTTGGCATGGAGTTCCATCCTCAGCAAGTAGAATATGTTGAAGATGTAAGTTGGGATTTTTTTACCATTTAACTCTAGTACCATTTCACTCTCAAAACTGTTACAAGAGCATGACTCTTCAAATGCTAACTTCTGCATTTCAGTAAAAGGAAGACACCAGAAATAATTCTTTTGCACTAGATACAGATAGCAAAATGACGAAGACTAGTGGCTGGTCTTCAGAGTCTATAGCTGTCTGTATTACAAAAGGCTATTCTTACAGCAAATTAGAACTGCCCGTTTTGTAAATACCTGTTTTCCTTTCAAAACTCTTGTCTGTAGAAAGACACAGAAATTCTTAATGGATCCTGGCTTTCATATCCATACTCAAAGCAGATCTATTGATTAAGATTGTCTGCTTGTCATAGAACAGGATCTGATACTTTATTCAGGATATGGACTTAACCAAATCCAAACAGTAGAGCGTATTAAGAAATTGCATTTAGATGTGAAACCAGTCAGCAAACTTTACATTTGATAGTTCCCTATCATTTTCAAAGCTGGTCAAGCCTAATGACTCCAAGGCCAGACAGAACAGTGTCTTCATACCAATGCAGCTTATGGAAAGTCATTTTGAAGAACCTCTATGTAATCTGTAAACTTGTAATGTAGAACATCTACAGCTACATTATGGAATAATTTGGTGCAGTAGGATTGCATCAGCAGATTGAAGGGGCTGAGGCTGAGGCCAGTATGTTTAAAGCAGAGGTTTAAGCTTTGGGTTAGATTTAATCTGAGGGGAACATCTCCCTCGTGTTTCAAAGCTCTCTGAAAGCTCAAGCATTATTTTGGTCCTTTTGTTCCTGTGAAGTGTTGGAGTGCATTTGCTGTGGAGTTCCCTGTTTAGTGTCCTCCTAAAGGAAATCAGCTTGCAAGCACCAAAACTTATCTGCAAGCCAAATCAATGCTCAATACACAGGGACAGTGGAGCAATTTGCTTCAAAAGCATCCTAATAAAAAAACTAAGGCCAGTAGTCACTGTAGTTCAATGTTTATTGCAGTCATGCTTTTCTCTTATACAAGAAATAGAGTGTGATATCAGGAGTCCATTTCCAGACAAGCAAAATGTGTCACATGTAGTTAGGCTATAGAACACTTGCTGCAGCAGTTTGTGGAAGCTAAAAAGCTTAAGCAGAGAACGAGCAAGTTCTTGGGAGAGAATCCATTGAAAATTACATTGAAATGACATCCAGTGCAGGAAGGATTTTGTATGAACGACAAAACCTCAGAGGCAGAGAGAACACTCAGGGGAAGGATCATGTGTTTGGATCATGTGTTTGTCCTGGTACTTAACATTATTTGAGCACCTGCTTCAGTGTCTGCCAGAGGCCGCGTATGAATCCCTGTGCCAGTCTGATATGGCTATTACTACTTTCTTAAGGAAACTGAAATCAAGCATGTGGTCTAAGAATGAAAGAATTACACGATCTCACTTCAGCAAAAAGGAAATTCTATGCAAGCAAATGTGGTGTTGCCAAAGAAATAAAAAGAAAGAAGTTCTTTCATTTATGTAATTCATTTTAATTGCCTTCAGTAGTTCCATGAATTAAGATGAGAATTGGTATCTTCTCTATGGGGCTTTGAGGACTCTGTTGAGGAAAACACAATGTTCCATGGAAACCTTTACTGACAGCATTGATAGTGCTAGTTATTGCAGGTTGTGGAAGGGGAGAAAAAGAGCAGGATATTACAAATTCTGAGTGGAAGATTACTTAGAAATTGTGTGGAAGACTAGAGAATTGCTCTGGTTTCTTATCTTCCACATGATGTGGTATTTGTAACTCCTATTTACTTAGAATTTGTTGCATAGAGTTGTTCATTTGTTTTCTTAACAAGTCTCAACATCTAAATTTCAAATAAACACTTTTAAATAGTTCCTTGATAGACATAGTTAAAAATATGGAAAATACTGTTGTCATGTAATACAGTTATTTTCTTCCTTCCTCTTTTCCGTTATATTGGTGCACAAATACACACACTGTTATATTAATGCAAACTTTGTCTGTTCCTTCCTAGAAGTCACGCCTTTTTTGTACTTTCTATAACAAATTAAAATTTCTTTCCTCTGTCTTCCCTGATTTTGTTCTTACAAGATTAAAAAACAGTGTCGGGTCTCTGACCATCTAACTATAAATGTATAAGCATGTTGTCCTTGTTAGTTACTGCATTCTTGTTAATGTGCAGGGACCTGAGGATATTCAATTTCTGTTGTAGCTGTGAATGTAGCTATGTTGGGAAATTTGCCTTACTTAACAACTTTTCACCTCCTTAACAACCAGAAAGAAATTATTTCTGTAATCATAAAGTGTACAATTTTATACACAGTTCAGCTTTTAACCATCTTTGTTTTCCTATATGTAGTTAATTTTGCATCATGATGAGCCATCAGCATTCCAACTTATGTTTTCTACTTTTAATGATATAAAATGACAGAGCTGTGGAAATGATGAATTAAGTATAGTAGGTTAACTTTAGCTTAATTTCTCAGGAGCCTGAGGTGAACCCAATAAATCAGAGCTGCCCTAGCTATTTCAATTGCAGCTGTCTTACCACCAAGATTTGAGGTGGAGAATTTAATGGAATGGAATTAATAATTTTACTTGCAAAGGGCACACAACATTGTTTCTGGCTTTTGCCATACTGAAATAATCTGAGTATCTCCAACACGCTTATGGGTAAATATATGAGTTGAAATTAATTTGTTTTGTTAAGAGCAAATGTTCTGAATTAATCTAGTTTTAAAATTATTTTTACTGTCTTAGTAGAAACCTCTGTGTCGTAACCTTATAATGAAATGAGATCATTCAGGATCAATTTCTCAGTGGCCTTGTCTGTGAACTCAAGTTTATAACTGTATTTTAACCAGTCAATGCACTCCTCTAGACTGAGTAGCAAAAAGATACAGCGCTTTATCTTTGTATAAAGAAATGTCTGAATTCTGTTTATATTAACATGTGCACTTACAGGATTGTTCTAATGTGGAATAGGAATAACTTTTCCACATTAGTATTATTTTACATATGTGGTATTCTGCCACAGCTGAAGTTGCTCCACTGTACTAAGAAGAATTTGATGAACGTTTTGTGAAAACCTCGTGCTTTTAATTGAGTATCCAGGTCAGGAAACATGTTCAAAAGGAGAGAATGCCCATCCTTTGAAAATCAAATCCTTTTAAGTAGTTCATGTGAGCATTTTGTAACAGAGGGCTCAGATTCACTAACCATATTTCAAACTCTTGGCTGCTTTTTCAAAAAAATCATGTACATACCATACATTTAAAACTTAGTACATATGTTTTCACTTTCCAGCTTCCTGAACAAAATGTGATAGCTATATGGAACAGTTGGTGTTAACTATGTTTGGTACCTGTTCAATTCCAATTGAACTTCCAATTATTTGCGCTGCAAAAACAGTTTTAAATTTGTAAGTTCTGGTCTGCAGCAGTAAAGGAACATACACAACTTAATGTTCTTTTTTTAAATCTGAGAGTTTAATTATTTGCTTTTAATTCAGACTAATGTCTACTACTGTATATTATAGCATGGACTTTAAATTATTTTTCAAATCCAATACACTTTGTTAGTACGTTAGAAGTGTTCATTTAGATACAAGAAATAAATAAAAATTGAAAATTAGCAAATGTTTATCACTTTTATTATATTTATGATAGAACCTATCCAATTTTGAATGTAAGAGATATTTAAACTGTGAGATCTCTCAAACAGCAAGGCAGTAATTTATGTCTTTGAATGTTTTTCGTTGGCAGCTAAAGAAGAACGTAAAAAAGAAGAGAGCAGTTTAGAAAATGCACAAAAATGGTAAGGTTTTTGCTAGTGTTTCCTAACAGTTTATTTTGGTCAAAGATGTTATTGATCTTAGGAATTACATTAAATAGGAAAAAAAGATCTGTACTTCAAAGAAGTAATATGCTTTCTGAAAAATTCTTATGTAGTCTTCCAGGAAAAAGTTCCGTTGAGTTTTTAGCCAAACAGTGTAATGTGTTTCACAGTTTGATTACTGTCAACATTGAATTGAATCAGAGTTTTACAGAATATTGTAATAACTGATTAACTACTTAATGTGGTAAAAATATGTTTCATCATCGCTGAACATTTTCAGCACTTAGGCTACTGAATGCAGTATACTTTAATAAGTTAGTGATTCTAATAAATTTTGTTTACCAAATTATGGTTTCGTGAGAGTGAAGGATGTGCTTTTAACCTCCTTTGTGTTAGCTATGAAACTGCTATAAATCAGTTGAGGTAGATTAATTTTTAACTTCTTATCGATATTTTTTTCTCATGGTCATTAAAGGCAGATCTATGGTAATCTGGATTTTTATGTTACTTTTCTGAGCCCGGAGTTACTCCACCTGACTGAGGCACCTAGGTTAGTCTTCCTAGACAGTCAGGAAAAGAGAGATAAGCACCTTCCAAGGGCAGTTTGTCTTAGGTAAACTGTTTCCATTTGTTTGTAGGAGGTGCCTAAATTGGCTGAACTATTGGCTGACATCTACTGGGGCTTTCCATCTTAATTTCTTTTATGAAACATGGCCAGCTGGCTTGTTTCCTTTCTACCTAGCTACAAACTTACCTTTTGTGGCACAGGCTGTTTCATACCTACCTGCTTTGTAGCCTTTCTGGAGCAGAATAGACTCTCCAGGGTATGGAGGTACACTTAATTTGCGGTTGACTTAAGGAATTAGTTGTCTGATATGGAGTTTGGGTTTTTTAATTGCTAACTAAACATTCAGTATTTTAAATTACTGCTAAAAACATCTGTTAGTTTTGAAAGTCAAAAAGCAGCCCAGGAAGCTAGACTAACTGAGTGAAAGCAAAACAATGCTTCTGGAGGAAGGGCTGAAGATAAAACATGAAAAGGGGATGAGGAATAAGTGTCACAATGAAGGCAGAGTGAGAGAGAGTGTGCAGGAATTCAGAATCTGAGAACATGCAGAGACAACTGTATCAGCTACAGCTGGGATGGAGAAGGGTTCCATTAGGAAGAAGAGAGCACGGTGTCACTGAGGCTGCTGTTACATGAAGCAAACCTGAGAAGAGAGATTCTTGTCTTGCTGTTCCTGGCTCAGCTATGCTAGTCAAGGGATCTGAACAGCTGAGGAATATTTGGCCCAAGTGAATGTAATGGAAATGACATTGCCCAGTAGACATGAACTGTTTTAAGCATGTGATTATGACTAAGGAATTTTAGTATTTTAACATTACCCAGATGGTTTACAGAGATATTTAAAGTTGTATTATTTATTTATTTTCTCCTTGTAGTGTCACTGCAGCACCCTTCAACTCTGAATGTTGGGGGTTATTCATACTTGTTTCATTGTGATTCCTTTACCTTTCATGGATCACCAATGAACTTCAAATATAGTTACATTTTTCATACAAAACCTCTGTAAGAAATTTAAAAGGTTACAGTTATCACACATGAGGATTTTAAAAATTATATTAATAGCTCACCTTGAGCAATATGTGATATTCTTCAGCCTGTCCTAGAAGCCGTATCCATCTCTAAAGTGTCAAAAAACCCAGAGCATATTGGTTCGTGTGGCTAAAACCCAAGCTTCTTTACTTTGTGAAGCAGCTGGAGTATATATTCCTTCATTTTGTAGGGTGACTTATGTAGTTTTTGGTGATGACTTTAAATTCTTCAAGCCTAGCTAAAAGCTTGATCTTAATATAAGGCAAAAACATTTGACCCTAACCTTGGAAATTCTGTATGAAAACATGCAATGTGGACAATGCAAATGCAAGTATAAGTTAAGAAAGAAATATTTGCTGAAGATGCATCTGTTGCTCAAGTAACATCTGTTGAATCATTGGGGACTCCTTACAAGTCTTTAAAGTACCTCTTATTTATTTTATTTTCAAGATTTACACATTCTGTGTTCTAGATTTAGGACGTATTGGCAGCTATAAAGAAGAATATAACTTTCTTTTGCTTAAATAAAATCAATATTTCAGGCAAAATGACTTACTTTGAAATACGTTGTTACCTTTCTTTTTAAATTATATAATTATTTTTCATACATTTTGCCAAATCTTTTGAGGATTGTTCCATCTACTTTGCAGAGAAAAGTGATGCAACCTTTACAAAAGTGAACATACATTTGTTTTGTTTAGATAAGTCTCCATGTACCTAGTTTGGTGAATCTTTCCATTTTATCTATATAAAGCAATATCATAAAAGTTAAAAATGCATAATCAGTTAAAATGCTATTAAAAGTATCGTCTATAATAAAAGGCTACTTTGAAAATATCCAGCTGTATAACAATTTAGTAGCCACATTATGAAATAAAAAAGCATTAAAATAGTATCAATGTATTTTCATAAAATTAATTATCTACTTATTGACACATGTGGAAGGAGATTATTTATTTTCAGTAAAAACTTTGCAAACTGACTATTAGCACTATCTGTAGCTTTTTTGTTTCTACTCCCCATTTCTTCCTGAGTCCTCGAAGGTTATTTTTAACCAAGCCTGGAGATTGTTTCCTGACTTGGCGTGTGACTCTCCCATAATCCTTCAATAAAGATAAATGGGAGAATAAGATCTTCATGGAGTGTTGCAGAATAAAATTAAATATATACGATATAGCATTTCCTGAAATGCAAAAAGTTAAGTTTTTCTCATTAATATTGAATGCCCATGATTTGCCTGTGTGACATATGTCTATGATGGCTCAAGCATCTGTAAGTTATCCTCCTGGGAATGAGGTAGGTGTTGGAAGGTTAGTTATACCCAGCATGAATTGCTGCTATGATTTCCAAGGCTAAGGGGAAGTTATAGTAATTACCAGCCTTGACTACTGAATCAGGAACCAGCCCTCAGAGAAAC